AGAAAGAGAAGCACCGGCTTCCTTTCCTGCTTCTACAGGTCCAGGAAAAGGGGAAACTCTTTGAGGGGGGAAGACATCTGTTTTTCCTTCATCAGATTCTTCAGACCGGGGCAGGTTACTAGCTTCAGCATTGTTTCTAGATGAGTCTGCTGTCTGGCTGGAGACTTCTCTCACTATCTGGTCCTGAGTAGTACAGCTGATGAGGTCCCTGAGGAGGTTTTTGCAACTAACAGCCATATCAAACATCTGCAGACTATCTGCCACAGAGATAACTTTGGTGAAATTGTGCTTCCCCAGTGGGAGTTTGCCACTGTACATCATCTCCAGCAAGAGTGCAAACTCCTCAGGGGTCACCACGGAAGCATCGATGGAGATGGTGTCTGTGCTCTCCAACAAGGATTTAAAAAGCAGGCTGGCAGCAGCCAAAACCACCTTGTGTGCTCTAAAATGAACATTCCCAACGAAGACGGTGCAATCGCAGAACTGCTGCTCTTTGCAGAGAGCATAGAGCTGCTGCAGCAGCTGTTTGCTGTAACTGGGAAGCTCCATGGCACCAGGGTCTACAGGCCTCCTCTCACCTTGGTCTCCCCACCACTTTCACAAAGCCCTGAAAAAAAATTAAAAAAATCCTGTTAGCACTTTGCTCAAATAGTAGCCATACAGAATGAAAGAATAAGCAAAAATTACTTTTTAGCTCACATCTAGCAGTTTACTGGTCTGCTTGCAGCCCAGGGCCTTCAGCACCTCCCTTCTCAGCACACCACAGTCCTGACACATCCATTTACGAGTCTTTTCCCCCACGTTGTAATCTCATGCAGAAGTCCACAGCCCTGACACCATCTACCAGAGCCTCTCTTTTACTTCCCTCTCCCCACCCTGTTTCAGGTGGGAGAAGAGATAGGATGTCTGCCAAGAGAAGTTTTATCAGCAAGGTATTTGGAGTTGTCTAAACCAGTCAAGACAAAGATGTTACTGCCTCGTTTACACACTAGGATGCCTAACACTGGTGCTGGCAACGATGCTGAAACAAAACAGCACGAGCAGAGGAGAAGAGCACCCGGATGGACACGATTTACATGACCTTCAACCACTTAACATCTTCACACTCAGTTTCCTACTGTCTTGTAGAGAACAAGAGTAATATCACCTGTCATCAGGGCGTGAGCTTTAATGAGCCGATGCTCATACAACACCTTCAAGTGCTGCTCCACAGGAAAGCAGGCTCAGAGCAACTCCCAACTTGCACCAAACTGCAAGCAGATGCTGGGCACAGGTTGAGCTGGCTCCCACAAGGCTCCAACCTCTCTGGAGCTCAGACTTTGCAAGAAGCAGGCCCTCCTGCCCACAGCGGTCCTTCTGCACGGCACAGCTGTCTTTCTGCACGGCACTGCTCATGGGAAAATAGGAGGTGCTGAGAGACATCACTTCCTATCAAAGCTCCAGACAGCTGAGCAAGTGGTTGGTGGATACCACCCATGCAGGAGAGCTCTCCTGCTCAGCCAAGAGCTGCCCTGTGTTTTAAAGACAAAATACTACCTAACTTGTTTTTCACTCACCAGGATAAGATCACAGATGGTTTTGACATCACCTCAAAGTAGAAGCGTCATGCTCCCTGTCTGAATATCTTTGATGCGAGAGCACAGGGTAGGTGGGTCCTTCTCTGGAAGGCAGGGAAACCTAAGGAGTTGCTGATACCCCACCCACCTGCTGCCCAGGAGGCAGAGCTTCTCCAGGCACATCGTTACCAAGGGCTGTCTGGTCTGCAGCTCATCTCTGCTGTTTCACAAGCACCAGATCCACCTCCTCACCCACACACAGGGCCGGCCACCTGCACTCCCAGCCTATTAAACATGTAGGCTCCGCTCTTCTCCCACGCCTCTGCAAATCACCAGTAACTGAGCTGCCATCAGCAGAGTTGCTGCTGGTTGTGGGAGAAGGAAGAGACCCACTTCTTTTGCCAGGCTCCGTCTAACAGCAGTTTCAGTCCACCCACTCCTTCCCCGGAGCTGAAGGACTTCCAAGTATCTGAGACGAAACTGAGTCTGCTGTTTAAATAATAATAGCTGTGGCTTTTTCTATAAAAGGACAACAGGAAACATCGATGTCCTCAAAGAGATGTCTGCTCACTTCGCCATGAACAGCCTTCTGCACAAAACCTATTGCTTCCACCGTGGCAGGCTGGAAGAAGCAGCAGCACCGTCTGCTCCCTCTATTCCTGGCAAGAACAGAGAAGACGTATTTGCCTATGACAGCTCAAAACAGTAAAGCTCTAAGCCGCCTAGCAGCACCTCCCCTTCTTTATTACAGCAGCTCCAAGCACTGGAAAATGTGTCCTGAGCAATTAGATCAGGTATATTTGCTTAAATACATTTTACATCTTTAATTATAGAGACCCAGAGATTCAGTAATGCCAAAGAGTGGCATAACAGGGAGAACACCAACGTGGCTTAGGAGTTTTCATTCCACTGACTTGCAGTGAGACTCCAAAGTCAATCAATCGGAGTCACATTTTCAAGAGTGCCTAATATTCCTAAGGCTCTGCTTGACCACGTGTTGATCAGTGTCCTCCTCCTCATCCTTAAGCAGCCGTTCCCACCTGACACTGCTCTCAGGACACCCACTTCAGCAAAGAAGCCCCTTCTTCTTCTGAATGCCCCGGGTCCAGGAGCTCCAGAATAGGCTGGCACCAAATGCTCCCCTCCACCATCCAGCTCCAGCTGTTTCTTCCTTTTCCTAGGTATTTCTGTGCTCATACACCTCCATGGTTCAAAGACATAATGTCTTTTTCTTTAAGCTACACCAGAACAGGAAAAGGATGTATCAATAGCAACAATGTTTCTTCACAGAGGAGGAGGAAACAGGAACACTCGATCCTATCTCTATAACTGAAGAGGAGTTTCCAAATTAAATTACTTCATTATTCATCTAATTACTTCAATCCAGATTCAACAGATTCAGAAGCCATTCGCATCACTAGGTTCATCAAAAGATAATTGAAATTTAGGACCGAGCACTTTAGCAATTAGATACTACAGAGATAGGTGCTCCAGCGACACGCAGGCACGATCACTCCCCCCGCTCACTCCTTGCAGTTTGAACCTCACATGCTCAGAAAGTCCATCACAAGGCATGGAAAGAATTTTAACGCCACTACAGCCTTAGCAAAAGGCTTCATTACACCCCTCTGCCAGAATTAAGGGCTTCTACAAGGTGCTGGTCAACTAATAAACTAATGCCAAAAGCTCCTTCCTGCATTGATTATTAGCAGCATCTCAGCAGCCAGTTTGAAGATGTGTTTCCGTGCCTGAAATTCTTCCGTGAGGTGCACAGGGAGCTTCGAAAAACAATTAAAAAGAAAATACCACATACATCAAATAACAAAACCCAAACTCAACACCTATTGCTGCACTGCCATGAAATTAAGCGATACCATCCCGCTGCTTTTTACAGGCACCAACCCACAGCCTTGTGCTCCCTCTGCTGACACCACAGCGCAGCGCACAGGCAGGTGACAAAACTAAAAACATGCGGCACACCTGGTTCAAAAGCAGGAGAAAGCAAGTCCTGCGCAAGCTCTGAAAAGCTCAGTCAAAGCAGGCAGAAAGAAATGAAGGAGTCAGGGCGAAATAAGCCAAATGGAAGACTCCAACTTCTCTGTCCTACGTAAATGCCATCTCTGTTAGAGTCGATCAAGGAGGGGCTCACAGGAGCAGCCCAACAACCCTCGTGGTCCCTGCTCTCTTTGCTTTCTGCCCAAGGGAGGTAAAATCCAAAGTGGTCATTGAAGCAAGCGCAGGTCCCAGCCCAGGAAGCCTCCCTGCCCCTGTGAGAGGAGCTCACCCCATCGCAGCCTGTTTTGCACTTGCTCAAAGGCTCATCTCAAAAAACTCCTGTCACTGAGTAAATGCAGTGAGACAGCTGAGATTCATTCTCCTGATACTGTGCCCTGCGTCCCTTGGGCGTGACAGCAGCCTCCAAGCGTCGGGTAACTTTGCGGTTTTAGCTCTGAGGAGTTAAGGACAGTGACAGCCTTAAATCAGAATCCAAATACCTTTTTGTGTTGTGTTTACCAGCTTCTGGTTTTCTTGTTACTACGACGATGACCTGACAAAGAGGGTCGTTGGAAAGCCAAATCATTCAATTTTCTTACCTCTCCCACCAAAAGTAATTCAGTCTTTGAAGTGCGGAAAGAGGCTGAGGGGTCATTACCTTCCTCTTCGATGCTCCAAAGGGCCAGAGCAGGCAGCTCTCCCAGAGGAAAATGTAAAATCCAGTACGGGCACACCAATTTGCTTTTCAATCTATTTTATTTCAGTTCAGAGCATCAGTGCAGGCAGATAAGAGAGGAAAATAAGCAACACTTTGACAAAATTTAGCGCTCCATGGTCTCTAAAGGCAGCAGAAAACACCACTCAAAAAACACACAACACTTTGGCTGTCTGTGTGCACAGGTGCTCTGAATGGAAATATAATAGATTGAAAAACAACCAGCATGCTCCAACTCTTAACAGCAAGTTTTCCATTACTTTCCCAAGCGAGGGCTGCTGCCTACTCCTCCTGGAATAGGACTGCCCCAACAAGAGAACGAAACTGCGCAGTGGAAAACCAGCACAAACCCAAAGCATGAGCCAAACTTTGCTCATACATGTCCCACTGTGCCCAGGGACACTGGAAGCATTAATTAGATTTTGCAGGTTCCCATCATACCCTCAAAAAACCCCAGAAGTTGATCAGATGAACTCCTGTTTTTTGGGTAAGCTTACATCAGAGAAAATGGTGTAATTTATTAGTGATGAGGGTTTTTAATAAAAAATAAAATACCAAAACCCAACACTACTTTGATGAGCATTTGTGATCCATTTTGCTGTCAGGCAGAGACAAAACTTTGCTTTTAAGCCTAGGTTACACAACAGGAGAATCCTGCCACGTTTTCCACGTCAGAAGGGACACGTGTGGTGTTTTAAATGATAAGGCCCTTCATGTTTTTGGCTCCCTGTAGGAGACACCAAGCACACCTTGATTTAACACAGCACTCCCGTGGAGGATCCACCTCCCGGTCCAAGCTCCCTCCAGCCTCCTCGGGCCACCTTCGGGTAAGAAAAGACTCTCCTGTCCGTCC